CTGGGAATGGGTCGTTCTAACAAACCCCTCCAGATGATTCCCGAGATCGTGCCAGAGTAGGAAACCCTACCGCACGGGAGTTATGGGGAGACCGGGCACTCTACTGGTGCTCGGTAGTGGCGGGTGGGGCGGGACAGAGCCGTGCATGGCACAGGGTAGGCAAATCATAGATCAGTGTTGGATGAAATGACTCAGTTGGAGTGAGCTTAAAGAGCCCGCTGGTGCCAGCATGGGGGGGGTATGAAGATTGCAGCTCCCCAGCTTCCCCTAAATAATCTCTGGATCCCTCTCGGGTTCCAGGAGGTCTGGGCTGTTAAGGTGAGCACCCCATCTAGAAGGAGGGCCCTGGAGTCCAAGCGGAGAATTCAATGTGGCACTCACTGTGCCTTTGCAACGTCGAGGATCAGAAACATTAGTTAAAGCATCGCCTGAGCAACAGGAAGATATCTAAGTGCTGGTGATCTGGATTCTTCCAAAGCTGCATTAGGAATGACTGACGGGGGCGGGGTAAGGGAGGAAGCCAGGAGGCTGCTGCAATCGTTCGGCAAGAGGCGGTGGTAGCCTGGACCTCCTGTTTGTCACTGGTGAGGCTGTGGCCGCCGCACCCGTTTACACAGTGCCCTCTGGGTGCTGGGAGATGGGGGTCCCAGTGCGAGGAGTAAATCCAGAGAAGGTGGGAGGGTGGAGGTGAAGCGACTATGACCAGAGGAAAGGATTTCGGGGTTTGCAATGTAGAAGAAGGAGCCCAGAAGGGAACTTACAACCTTAAGAAGATAAAACCCAGAACTTCCCAGGCTGGCATGAAACTAACACGAGATTCCTCCAGACCCGAGGGGCAGTCGCTCCGAATCCTCCAAGTCCTGCCTCTGTCCCCTGACTCTCCTTTCCCTGCTGGCCCCCGGGAGCCCTGCTTGTCCTGATCAGAAAGCCTGCCCCGTCCACCGTTGGGTTGGCCCTTTTATTATAAAATCATTGTCCCGAGTGTTTTGCAACCTGAGGCTGTCGGGATAGCTCTCTGTCCCCGGGGCAGGGTTGAACTTCCTTTATGATCCCAGCATCTGGAAAGGGTCACAGGGGCTCAGGCACCCTCATGCCTCGGGTCGGAACAGGGGACTACACGCAGGTGTTACCTGCAGGCTCCTGCCCGAAGATTCACATGTTGAAGTTCTCACCCCCACAGCCTCAGAATGCGACCTTATTTGGGGATAGGGCCGTTATAGAGGTAAAATTCGGTCATTATGTTGGGCCCTAATACGATGGGCATCCTTAGAAAAAATACATTTGGACATAAAGAGATGTGAACAGGGAAGACAATGTGAAGATATAGGGAGAAGATGCCACCCACAAGCCAAGGACTGAGGCCTGGAGCAGGTCCTTGCCTCACAGCACTTGGCAGGAACCAACCTGCTGACAACTTGATTTTGGACTTCCAACCTCCAGAACTCTGGCATGATAATTTTCTGTTATTTAAATCACCCAGTCCATGGTACTTTTTCTTCCAAACAGGGTCTTGCTCTGTCACCCACTCTGGAATGAAGTGGCATGGCCATAGCTCACTGCAGCCTCCAACTCCTGGGCTGAAGCTGTCCTCCTGCCTCAGCCTCCTGAGTAGCTGGGACTGCAGGTGCCACCACACTGACTAGCTAATTTTTTTTTTTTTTTTTTTAGTAGAGACAAGTTTTCTGCTATATTGCCCAAACTGGTCTCGAACTCTGGGGCTCAAGTGATCCTCCTGCCTCAGCCTCCCAAAGTGCTGGGATTGCAGGCGTGAGCCACTTCGCCCATCCCAGTCTGTGGTACTTTCTTAGGCAGCCTTAGCAAATGAATATACCAGGCTCTGTACCCACTGGTGCCCACAGGGAAAGTGCCTTCTAATGACTCAGAAACTCCCCTCTTGACTGTCTCAATCATGCCCAAGGAGAAAGTCCCCCATCCCAACCCAAGCTGTCCCCTGGGCTCCACTTTCCAACTGGGACACAGCCTTTCCCAGGTGACCGACAGAGTCCCCATGAAGCGAGCCTCATGCCCACACAGGTGCATTGAGCCATACACGTCAGGGGGCTGACTTTGTCCCTGCAGACCCGAGAGCATAACTAGCATCTACTGGTGTGACAAAGTAGCTGTAGAATTCCCACCTGCAGCTCCTCGCAGACACCTGGGTGCGGTGACCTGGGACGATGGGATTCTCAGATCCGAGCAGGTAAAATCATGTGCCGGACAGACATGGGTGCTAGGGGAGCGATCAGTGTGGGAACTGGCGGCAATTAGAAGAACGGCAGGGAACAGCCTTTGATAAATATTGATGAAGAACTGCTGAATGAGTGAATTAATGACCAAATGCTATTCCCGTGGCTGTGATCGTCTGTCCCGTGGGACACGGCATGTTTTATAACGACGAAGGACACACAGAGCGATAGCAAATGGTGACGGCATACCGATCTGTCCCCTCGATGTAAATCTAATTCAGTCCTCTCAGAATTATTTAGCAAGGGTGGGGCGGAGGGTGGGAGCCCCATGCCACAAACATGATACAATCACACACCCCACCCCTCAGGCCCTCCACCCGCAGAAACCCTCCCAAGGGGAGAGGGGACTGGAAACGTAGGTGAAAGCTGCGTGATGGTCCCTGGAGGCAGAGGTGAGGCAGGAGGGAGTCCGAGTTGCTCGGCCTGGCTTCTGTGAGGGCGGGGCAGGGACACGCAGGACGCTGCAGGCTGCTGGGGGAACCGCCGCTACACTCCGGGCCCCTTTTCCTTTTTTCACATGAATTTTTAAAAAATATGCAATTTACTTTTTTTTTTTTTTTTTAAAGACAGAGACTCATTCTATTGCCCTGGCTAGAGTGCAGTGGTGCCCTCATAGCTCACAGCAACCGCAAACTCCTGGGCTCAAGCGATCCTCCTGCCTCAGTCCCGAGTACCTGGGACTACAGGTGTGTGCCACCATGCCCGGCCCATTGTTTGTTTCTACTTTTAGTTGCCTGCCTGATTTTTTCTAATTTTAGTAGAGATGAGGTCTCGCTCTTGTTTTTTTTTTTTTTTTTTTTTGAGACAGAGTCTCGCTTTGTTGCCCAGGCTAGAGTGAGTGCCGTGGCATCAGCCTAGCTCACAGCAACCTCAATCTCCTGGACTCAAGTGATCCTTCTGCCTCAGCCTCCCAAGTAGCTAGGACTACAGGCATGCGCCACCATGCCCAGCTAAGTTTTTCTATATATATTAGTTGGCCAATTAGTTTCTTTCTATTTATAGTAGAGACGGGGTCTCGTTCTTGCTCGGGCTGGTTTCGAACTCCTGACCTCAAGCAATCTGCCCGCCTCGGCCTCCCAGAGTGCTAGGATTACAGGCGTGAGCCACCACGCGAGGCCAAGAGGTCTCGCTCTTGAGAAGTGGGGTCCACTTTACAGATGAGGAAACTGAGGGAGGAGCAAGGGAGCTGCTCCAGCCCACAGAGCCAGTCGGAGCCTGGCCGTGGCCGGAGCATGCCGTGCCGGACAGGAGCTGGTGGCGGAAAGGAAGCTCGTGAAAGGCAGCTGCCTGTCCAATGCCAACACGCACCGGCTGAACCCACCACGAGCACTCCCACCTCGGCCCCTGGCCTCACCTGGCAAAAGCAGGGGCCAGGTCCTCCCCATCTGCAGCCCCAGAGCAGGTGCCCAGGAGGCCTTTGCCGACAGTCTGAAATTCGCAGCTCGGCTCCCAGCCCCCAGCTCTTCAGCCAGGCTTCTCAGACTCCCAGCATGCCCTGCAGACCCACCTGCGCCCTGTTAGCCCTTCTGCCCTGCCAGCTGGGGCGCTGCTGCGGGGCTGTTTCCCTCCCTAGCAGCCCACTCCAAACCCGGCAACCTGCCACATCACCCATTCTGGGGACCGGTGCCCAAGGCACAACCCAGGACCAGGAGGGTGGGCAGTGAACAGTGCAATGTGGCCGGGGGACCAGCTGGGCTGGGCAGGGAGCACGGGACAGCTGGTGCCTGGATGCTCCGCCTTGGCCGTGACTCTCATCGGGGTGACCTGGAGGGGCCAGAATGCCAAACATGAGGCCAGTGTATTGGTAGCCCCATTTTTCAGACGAGGAGACTGAGGGAAGGTCAGGGGTGCTGCCCAAGGTACTAGAGCTGTAATGGCTGGGATCTGAACCGTGGTCCTGATTTCTGAGTCTCGCTCTCTCTGCTCTGCAGAGCTGCCTCCTGCTGAGATCTGTTGGGCCTCTGGTCCCCACTTCCTCCCCTGAGGGCACTGGTGTCCCTCTCTCAGTCTCCGGTACCCCAGAGTGACCCGCCACCCAGCCTCTGCAGATCAGCAACCTTCCCTCAAGGAGGATGAGGTCAGAGCGCTGCGCGCTGGTGCAGATGCTAAATAATTCATGTGGCTGCTGAGATCAGGGGCTGCAGCTTCCTGGAGAGCCCGGAGTGGAGACAGCAGACAGGAAACACGGTCTGGCCACCAGCACCTGTGCCTGACCTTGGCACGTCCTCCGGGGCTGGGGAAAGGTTAGCCTTGGTGAGAATGGGCTGGGGCTGACAGACCCTTCCAAGCTACACCGCCTCGGGCAAGCCACTCAAGCTCTGCCCTGTTTTGCTGTGGCAGTGAGCAGAGGGCCAGGAGAGCATTCTGGGCGTGGCACCTGGCAGGTCTTCCTTGTTGGGCATCCACCATCGGGAGCCCCACCGCGCCTTTCTGCGTGCTGAGTATGTCACCCAGTGGACTGTCCCAGCTGCCTCCACCAGCCACACCAGGGCTGCTACAGGGTCGCCCCCCTCCCTGCCCCACCCCTGCACAGATCTTGTGTCGGGGGTCACCGGTCTCTGGCCTCAGCTGGTTGAGAGCTCAGTGGTTTTTAAAAGCCTGGTTTTCCCCTGTAAAAGAAATCCCCAACCAAGAAAAAGGTTAATTGGGGTCAAACAGCCTTTGTCAGCATAGAAGGCAAGGGGTCTGGGCACGGGTGATGGGGGAGATATAGATTAATAAATCCCAGAAAAACTCTTCACGAACACACAGGAATTCAGTGGCAGTGATCCCTCGCAAACGGAGGGTAAGGTCATTTAATTTGGAGCGGTTGTGAAGTCCAAACTGTGCTTCGAGCTACGTGGTTTGACAGTGGCGGGCGGTGTTGGCCGGATGATGATGAAGATCCTGCAACAGGTCCCTGCTCCTTCTAGTTCTCCCGAGTGCAAGGCTGCAGTGCAGCTCCACCATGGCAGAGAAAGCGCCTCTCTCACTCCTAAAACCACAGCTATCTCCTGCGCTCGGCCTCGGCCAGAGTGAGCAGGGAACACCACCTGGTAGTCCTGAATCCAGGCAGACCTGCAGCTTCTGGAAGCCCATCCCTCCTGAGCCTCCCTGCAGACCCCAGGAGGACTTGGGTTCAAACCCACGTTCGCTGCACCCTCTGGCTGCCTGGGCTGCCAGGGACTCTGTGAAACTATCACCCAGAGAAGCGGGATGGTGACCTACTCACCGTAAGGGACTTGGGCCGGTGAGTAGAGGAGAGCAGTGAGATGCGCAGAGCTCCCCTTCCCTTCCACGATAGGGAAACAATTCATGGAATTGAGCAACCGGCGCAACAGAGGGTGGGGGGCGTGACACTTGGGAGCATAGTCCTACTCTGCGGGGACTGCTCACCCAACTTAGCTTTGGAAAAACACTCCTGTGACAAAGGCAGGCTGTGGGGGCCACGAGGGTGGCACTGCAGAACTGCTTGTCCTCAGCCTCCACCTTGGAACCCAGAGGTGATGCCGGGCTGAGGACTGAGCTCTAGGGGCACACAGGGGCCCCCTTGGGTAAGTCACTCTCTCTGCTACCCAAGGGCGGGGCCCACCCAGCCAAGAGGATGCTGCAGAGATCACCTTCCCGCAAGCCCGGAGCTGTGCCCATCTGTCCCTGGTGCCAGCACCATGCAGGTCCCAAGAAGCCCCCAACCTCCCTTCCCTGGGTGACCATCAGGACCCTCTGGAGCAGGTCCTAAGGCCGAGGACACAAGAGGCTCCTCCAGTGGTGAAAGCAGCAGCAGCACGTCCAGGCGTCCCCAAAATATCTGCTGCTCATGGTGAGGTAGGAACGTGCACGTCTGCCCATCGGGACACAGCACAATCTTTAGTCCGGGGTCCCCCTGCCTGAGGGGCCTCCCACAGCCCCCGAGTCTCAGTCATGGGAGAGGCCTAGACCCCAGTCCGTCCGCTGCAGGAAGCCCGGCTGGTGCCGAACATGCAGCCTAGACCCCATCCATGTCTCCCAAGGGACCCCCCCAGACCCTGGCCAGAGACATCTGGTGGCCACGGCAAGGCCCTGCTGCTCGCCCAGAGCCTGTGCGATCCAGGAACTTCAGCGCTGACACCTGCCCCGGCCCCAGGAGCCACCTTCTGCACCGGCTGGGAAACCAGAAGCAGACAAGGCAGAAGGGCCAGGGAGGACGTCTGCGGGCACTTAAACAGTGCAGAGCCACCGTGCCCGTCACCGACCCCAGTGCCTTCGTGGTTGTCCGTGAGGTAGTGCTGGAGGAAGACTGCTTCCCCGGCTGGGAACAGCGCGGGCGTCTTGGTCCCAGACGGCGAGGGCGGCTGGGAGCAGAGATCAGGCAGGGCCGGAAACCCCAGTGGTCAGCGGATGGCTGGTGGGCAGGCAGGAAGGCCTCGGGGTGATGGCGGAAGGGCCTCACCAGCAAAGCACCCCGGGGGCTCAGATCCAGGACCCAGAGGCCGCAAAGAGAAGCAGTGTGTGTCCAGGCCTCAGGCGGGGCCCTGCCGCTGTCTCAACGGCCTTCCAAAGCCCGGGTGGTGGCAAGAGGCCTTGAAGAGAAGGGCAAGGGCCAATTTCTGCCATGACTTGGCTCCCAAGACTCACGGGGGAGGAGATCCACCTGGGTGCAGGGTGGCACAAGCTGATGCCAGACACCAAAAATGGCCAGGCCAGGAAGGTCCACAGCATCAAGATGGGGCATCTGGGGCCTGTCATTCAGAGGAGAAATGATGGCCACCTGGAAGAGCTGGGCATGGGGACACAGGGGCTGTGATCTGGTGGCAGGGGGATTCTGGGGGGGATGGAGGGAGGCTAGGGTCTGCAGACCACTCTTTGCAGCCAGAGCCACTTGGGGACCAGTAGGTTGGGCTGGGCAGGAAGGGGGTGGCCCTAAGGCCCCAGCCATACACTCAGGGCTTCACAGGGCCCCCACTCAGTCCACTGCTTCGGCCGGTGGCCTCCGGTCCCTCCCAGCTCCAGTGACAAGAACGGGAGAGGTGCTGGGCCCTGCCCAGCCTGGGTACAGAGTACTGAGGACATCAGGGCGACGTGCAGTCCAGGGAAGAGGGCTTCTACCATCTCGTTTTACTTTGCGGGGACTGAGCCTAAAGTAACCAGAAAGAACAAGAGTCAAAGGGGACCGCCCGGGGCCCAAGTGCTGGCTTTTACTAAAAAAGAAAGGGTTTCGGTCCCCAGGAGGCTGGTGCAATCTGAACACAGAAGGAGAAGCCTGGGAGAAGTTTTATTTTTGTCCAGCAACCTTTCTTCTCTCCCTCTCCACAAAAACATTTTTTCCCACTACAACCGGTGTCAGAAAATAGCTTCTGACTAGCTGGGGAGAAACGTTCCCAAGCCTGGAAGGAACAGGCTCCTTGGGGCAGGCTTGGCAACCCCCCTGCAAAGACCTGAGCCAGCGTCCAAGGGTCGGGACACTGCTGTCTCATCCGCACGGGCCCTGGCACTGGCCATCCCAGGGTGGACCAAGGGGAAAGGCTGCGGATGTCAAAGCCTCGGGACAGCCTGGCCAGTCTTAGCCTGGCCCCCTAGACCTCTCTGGGCCAGCCTGCTTACCTGGAAACGGTGGGGGGAGATAGTGACCCCTAAGGCCCTGGCTAACCCTAACATGGCCTGGTTCCGGGATTCTGAGTCTGGAAGGGAATACCACTCCCGCCCTCCTCCGGCTTAACATGAGCCCACAAGGAAAGGCTTTCGTTTGCCATAAGGTAAGAGCCAATGGGCACTTCACCACCCAGGAACGAACCAACCAGGACGTGGCTGACCCTTTCCACCTTTGTCAACCCACTCTGTCAACAACTCCAGGCCCTTCCCTTCCCCTCGCTACACACAGCGTGATCTGTAGCCTGGAGCAGAATGGCTCTCACCTCATCCCCCCGGGGACCTTAACTATCGGTCCCCCCAAGGAGCTGAAATTAGTTCACCTTCCCGTACACACGGAATGGTCTGCTTGTGGGCCCGCCTTCCCTGTTCTGTCCCCACAGCCACTGGGGGCCTGGGGCAGAGGAAGGTGCCTAGTTTCAGACAAGCCCGGATACGGGCTGCACGGCAGGCACCACCGAGCCCAGGTGTTCGTTCTGCCCGCACACAGCACAGACACCCTTTGCCGGGGAGGGGCAGTGGCTGCTTGGAGGCGCGGAAGGAAAATCCCACAGCAGCCTTAAATGAGAGCTGGATTTGGAGGGAGGAGGCGGCGGCATCGGCTATGGGCCATGGGGGAGGAGAGGCTCATCGGAAACCACGATCCCAGAGCAAGAGTTAATAAAGCAGAAACACGTTTATTAGGCACCCTTGATCCTCACAGAGGAGCAAGATCCAGGCCCAAAGCGCCCGAGGTTGCAGGAATCTCCAGCATATGCAGGTGCGGACCGGCCACCACCCCAAGAACAACACTGTCTGGCCGGAGCTCGACCGCCGCGGTGACCCTGGCATGAAGCCGGAGACTCCACAAACACTGAGTAGCAGGTGGGGGCACCCAGGACATTGGCAGGGGGAGGGCCTCATGGCTCGGAGGACGAGCTGCCCCGGGCCAGCAAGGGGGAGGGGGAGCCCGGGAGTCCCTTGCCCAGGCCAGGTCCCGAGGGCCCTCCCCAGATCCGCCCGTCCCTCCTGGCTGCCACTGACTCAGTCCCACACGTAGGGGTTTCTAAAGACCTGAGAGTTCTTGCTGTCTTTCGACGGTGTGGCCGCCTGGTGGCTCTGGGCCGAGTACATGTCTTCAGCCCGCAGAGTCGAGTTGGCACTGCCCATCACCTGGCTGTTGGCTGTGGCCCGTGGGAGGATGATGTCGTAAGCTCCTTCGGACTGGAAGGAAGGACAGGCGGTCTCACAGTCAGGGGCTTCGGGAGCCAGGTTCCGCCAGGGCGGATGCACAAACACTCTGCTTCCTGCAGGACGGTGCCTGCCAGCTCCCTCTCCTCGGCCCCGCTGCCCCTCTGGCCGGGACCCAGCGGCGGCCCGGGATGGCCGACTCCACTTCTGGAAACGGGGATGACCTCAAGTCCTTATCTTACCCTGCCTTTGGGCATGGGGACAGAGCCCCTGGACACCTTAGGTGGTCCTGGCGCTTCATAGAGAGGGTCCTCTTCTCACGCCCCCTCCTGCTGGGAAACCTTGGGGCCAGTGGGAGCCAAACCTTAAGCCACACTCAGCTGGTCCTGCCTGTCTGCTAAAGCTCCCAGCTCCTTCCTCCTGGAATCTTTCCCCAGGTAAACCAAAGGTCACTACAACACCCAACAGCATCTAGATGCTGGTTTTCCGGCCAACGACACCCTGCTGTGAGGCCCTGGGCAGGCCCACATATCTCTGGCTAAGAGTCCAGGCTGGCCAGCTTGATTTGGAGTCTTAAAATCCGAATTCTCTGCCTGGAACCTGGTCTTGCTGCTATGTGGGTGAGACACCGGCTGTGGGTGGAGAGGGTCCTGAGGCACCTGTCCCAGCTCCTACCTGGAAGGGAGGTGAATTCCTAGCCCCACCTGCTTCATCCCTATGGGAGAGAGCTGCCACCAAACTTCTGTAACCCAGATCCAGGTAGTCCTCCTGCCTGTTGTGACCTCCTACTCCCTACTCCCCGAGTGGCCCCTGGAACATCTAGACCAGTGGCCTCAGGCCTGGGTGTACAGCAGCATCACCTGGACCCCTTGTTAAGTTATGCCCACTTGTAGCGCCCCTGCCCCCTCCAGCGGTGGGCTGGTAACTGGGACGGCGGGAGGGAGCCCTGACTTGCAGTGTTTGCAGATCTGCATTGGGCAGTCACGCCCAGAGTGGCAGATCTCAACTAGCAAGGTGATAGCAGGAAGGGATGCTCCCATTGGCTCCACCCCTCCGCTGGTCCCACTCCATCTGCATTTTGAGCAAATTCCCCCCCCCGGTGACGGTGACGCTAATGCTGGTGATCTGAGGACCCGTCAGATCAAATATTCCTGTTAGTCCAGACCACCGCCCGCCCCCCAGGAAGCAGGACCCCGAGGCACTGGGGAGTCAGGGGCAACAACAGTGAGGGCGGCTACTGAGGAAAGGCTTGGTGGCCGTCCTCTCCTCCAGGGCTGGGCACCAGCAGCCTCTGCCCATCACAGCTCCAGCCACAGGTTCAGGCTCAGGGACGGGGAAGGAGCGGGGGCTGGAAGCTCAGGCTCACAGAGAGGTCCGGGGAGGGGATGAGAACGCCACCCCGCTGACCTCCTCACTTCCTGTTCCCAGCATCCTGCCAAGACGGGTCACTGACCTCTCCCCACAGCCACTGCCAGCCGGGAGGAGGAACATATATGGGGCGAGGGAGAATCCAACCCACCTTCTTCCTGTTCCCACCACCCCTGCCCCCTCGCCCCCGCCCCCTCGGCTAATGGAGCATCTGGTTTCTGAACCCAGGGGAGGTGTGAGGTCGAGACTGGCTGCCTGCTGGTGGGGGAGGGGAGCCGGAGGCCCTCCCGGGACAGCTGTGGTTGACAAGTGAATGCCTACCCAGACCTGCCACATTTGGGGCCCACCCACCTTGGGAGCACCTGGCTGAGACCCTCCTTTGCACCCAGAGCTCTTTAGGGTAAAGCCGGCAGCTCACACCAGCTCACTGAGAGCTCATCCTGCCTTCAGTACGGCATCCGGCCCCTGTCTGACACAGGGCAGGCCCCTGCAATGTAGCTAAAGGCAATGGATACATCAGCTCCGGGAAAAGGGGGTTGAAAACTGGGGCTCGGGGTTCCCCAGGTAGACGCACCAGGTGGAGAAGCCTGCCCTCTCCCTACCACTTCCACCCAACCCTGCACTGGCCCATGGACCCTCCCCTGGGCCCACTGAGGCTGCACTGTGGCCCCCAGCAGGGTCACAGGGCCCTGGGGAATCCACTTACCGGGACTTTGTGCATCAGGGCCATCTCGGTGGGCTGGTACACACTGGTCAGCAGCTGCCCATTGTAGCCACTGTATGGCGACACAGGCCTCTTAGCTGCAAGGGAAAACAGGAGCAGCGTGAGGATCCCTGCACTCTTGGTCCCCGTTCCCACCTCCCACAGCCCAAGCAGGGCTCTCCTGGGGGCAGGCAAGAGGGAAGCCCGGGCCATGCTAGCCCTGGTGTAATATCTAACCCAAGAGTAGCTGGCTTGGGGGTGAGGTGTCCAGGTGCATGGGAGCGCACAACGCAGCTCAGTTTCCCTGCAGTGTGGGACGCCTCCCCCCCCCGCCCCCGCCCCAACAGCGCAGAAAAACGCTCCTTCAGCAGCCTTCACATCTCCATCCGCCCCCGGGGCCAGAGGCCAAGAGGGCACATGGGCCTTCGGCTGCCTTCCAAGATGGCCAGCCTCCAGCTCTGGCCTCCACCGCTGCGGGCCAGCTGCCAGGCGCTGCCGTAAACACCGCTGAGACCCCGCGGCCGAGCCCCGTCCCGTCCTCACAGGGCAGAGCTGGCGCCTTCCCCACACACCGACCCGGAGCCCGCCAGGGACACTGGTGCCCGGCCCGGCCTGTGGCCCCTTGGCAAGTGTCCAGAACTATTTTCAGCTCCAGGAATACTTCTCTGTGCCTCTGGGGTGTTGGTTTCCCAGTGTGTTCCACCCCGCTGGGCACTCCCAGGGTTGCTGAGGAAAACTGCTGACCCAGCCCGGGGGCCAGGAGCAGGCTCGCTGCGGGGGCGGCACGGCGGATGTCTGGCTCCTGCAGGGCTGGCCGCCCGCAGCTCCGAGGGACCGCAGCCTATATAGGGCTCCTAAGTGCTGGGCTCGCTCTATTGATTTTTCCAGTTAGGAAAAAAAAAAAAAAAAAAAGAAATAAAAACTCACAGCCCCAGAAGTGTTTGCCATGAGAGGACAAAGCCTGAGAACTATTTGGCCCCGACAAACAGGTATACACAGGTGGGGGGGCACCTGTCCCGCCCACGCACCCTCTGTGGCCTGGGGCCACTCTGGGGTAGGGCCAGCGTTCAGCCCAGGTGGTCAGATCAAAGATCCAGTGCCCAGCAGGACAAGGGTCACTTCTTTCCCCCAAGCAGGGGTTAGGAGGATCTCACAGTGTGTGGAGAAGGGACAGGATGTCTCTGACTCTGGAGCCTCCACTGCCTGCAGCGGCCCCACAGCTGGGGCATGATGACTGGGCCGCTGAGAAACTCTCAAGCCCCCAAGCAGCTGCATCAGCAGAGCCTGGGGCCAGGGTGGGGGCTGTGGGATCATGCCCCCGGCTTTCCAGCCATGTCAGATGAAGGGGCTGCAGCAACAGGACACACCAGAAAGGGGCTCAGCACGGGGCCTGGCACACAGTAGGTGCGCAAGAAATGCTAGAGGTTCCTTAGGTAACAAAAGTGATCAATATGTGGCACCACAAGTGCTTTAGTAAAAAGAAAAAAAATTAACTGAAAAAGATTTCCTTTTAAAGGAAACTAAGATGATTATGGAGACGTACGTAATAGGAAAGCAAGTTCCGGAAGGATAATATTAACAGTGAAAACAGTAAGGCACACGACAAACCGCTAGCACTTCTCCAGTGCTCTTCTCGGGCCGGGCACGTGCACCGACTAAGCCTCACAAGAGCACTGTGACATGGGCACTATTAGTATCCCAGTTTTACAAATGAGGAAACTGAGCCACACGAAGACATTACACCAGGCAGCAGTGGTCAGTTTGGGGACGAACAGGATGGGAGGCAAGGTAGGACTGGAGACGCAGCTGGGGGGAATTTTCCTTACCTATAATGTCTAAAATTTCACGATGAGAATATATGCGTGACTCACATGAATACAGAAAAAAATCTTTCAAAAAATAGGGTTTAGGGACAGTTAGGCAGAAAACTACAGCTAACCTCAAGAACCTCTGGTTTTGCTGGAGGGACTGGCTCCCTGTCCCGCAGGAAAGACCTGGGGCCACACGAGGGGTGTCCCCTGAGACCCACCTGCGGCCGGCTCGTCCATGGAGAAGGCCTTGTTCTCCACGAACATGCTCTGCCCCTTCTGCTCTTTCAGGATGGTCTCGTAGCCCACGCCCCGGGTGGGGTACATGTCCCCCTGGTAGCTCTGCTCTGGGCCGGCCTTGGTCACCTGGGAGACCTCGGGGATGACGTAGAAGAGGACAAAGGCCCAGGCGTTGGCGGCCAGGGCGATGGCCAGCGTGGGGTCGTCCCAGGTGGGGCTGTCGCGCTGCCTGTTGCCGTAGGTGTACATGACGATCCACACCACCCAGATGGCGATGGAGGTGGCCGTGGCGAGCAGCACGAAGACGCCGTGCTTGCGCCAGCGCTTGAAGCGGCCGCACAGGGCGGGCCAAGCCCCCAAGAAGGCGCCCAGCAGCAGCAGCATGACGTAGATGAGCGCTGTGACGAAGTCCATGTTGGCGATGGCGCAGGGCGAGGCCGCCGCCGTCCACCCGGCGCTGCTGTTGCCCGGAGGGCTGCCCTCGCCGCCTCCCCGGACCAGCGTGAGGATCAGCCACTCCGTGTTGATGATGACCTCCACGAGGGTCAGCAGCAGAGCCATGGTGAAGACCACCCAGCCCCGCGGCCCGTGGTTCTTCCGGGCCAGGAAGTTGAGGGCAAAGACGTGGGCCGCCAGGCAGGAGAAGCAGATGGCGAACAGGACCCCGAACAGGAAGCGCCGGGAGGCACAGGTGGAGAAGTCGGGCTTCACCACGCAGGCAAACACCAGGCAGAAGAGGCCCAGGGTCCCCAGCAGGAAGAACACCTGGGTCCCCAGCAGGCTCCGCTTCTTGGTGTCCTGCACGAAGGGGAGGCTGGCCACCAGGATGATGGTGAGCACGAACGTGGTGACGATGCCCGCCCCAGCCACCGCCTCCAAGATGATGCCCCAAGCCCCAGCGCGGTCACACAGGTTGTAGTAGAGAGGGTTGAGGTCTGGGCTGCAGCCAGGTGGGGCCTGGTTTTGGGCCTGGGCCCCCGGGAACAGGAAGAGAGGCAGTCCCAGGCACATCAGCAAGGCTTTACGCGTGGCCATCCTGGCACCCAGGCCAGGCTCCAGCTGGGTCCCTGGAGACAGAGGGAGAAGGGGCAAGGTCAGTCCAAGGCCGGACCCCAACATACATGGCGCTGCCTCCCCATCGTGAACTGGGGCAGATGGTGCTAGCTGGTCATGAGACAGTTCCGCTGGGCTTCAGAGTCCTTCTTAACAACTGGCCAGAGAGGCAAGTAAGATGAAGCCCATCTGCACCCCTATTCCTGGCCATGGAAAGGGGGGAAACTGCCACTGAAGTTTTGGTTCCCTCCTCTCTACCTGGGTTCAAATATTCCCTGAGCTCTTGCAGTTAGGGTTGATGGGGGAAGAGCTTGTGAGCAAGTTCAAACCAAGCACAGCACCCATCCAGCTCTTCCTCTCTGCCCTGTCAGATACTCTGCTCTTTAACCCTGTTCCTGTGATGCCTGAATCCATGGCATCATTCATTCAATCATTCATTCACTCAACAAGTACTTAATAATAAGCACCTGTGGCAGACATAACCCGCAATCAGAAAAAAATGGAGAGAGAGTTGAACAACTGAGTCAAATTTATCCACCTTTTCCCACATCCCTCCCACCACGTCCCTTTTTTACCCTTCATTTCCCCACTTTTAGTGCTAAGTCTCTTTAGAATCCAAAGTTTTCTGTCTAGCTCAGATGCTGAAGTCAAGGACAAAATAAACTAATTCCCCAGCTAATTAATGACTTAATGCAAAAATCCTCCTATGAGACATTAACATTTTAAAAGCAAGAACCAGGCAAGGACAATGCAAAACCCAAAGGAATTAATCTTTAAAGGAAGATTTTAAGACACAGTAGCTAGAAGGCAAGAAAGATGTCTTTTATTAACACCAAGAAGGAAACATTTTACGCCATCTACTCACTGTAGCTCTACCAAATGCTGCAGATCTGTGCCAGTGAAAACCGAACCCTGCCCCCAGTACCAATTGGATTTCCCTGCGTGAAGTGGAGGTAACAGGTGTGGCAGGTTAAGAGAAATTAAAGATCAAATCAGTGAGTTTTCCAATCGAAGGCTTTGCATTTACCTGGAGGAGACCTAACACAGAAAATTTAAATGCTCTAAAAAGCAAGTTATAAATCCCCAAATTCTATGAAATGCAGGTACTGCATATTTAACTCACTCCACATGTTCAAACAACTAGTTCAAACAACTCTGCCTCTTTGTCAGAACTCTCCAGAAAGACAGCAACCAAGCTTTCCTGGGCTGATAGTGACCACTAATGGCAGACAGAGGAATGGCATTATCTAACTCACTATCCTCCCCACCACCTTTCTTCCTCCTTTTTTGGGAGGGGGTTGGGGGATTGTTTGCATAGTTTATCTCCCTACAGTTTTTCACCATTCCTAGCTACTTAATTTTTAATAGGCAAACAAAAATCCTAAATCCCAGGTCATAGAAATTGTCTCTCCATAATTGATAAGTGAAAAGAACACTTACTAAATCAGGGGAAATGAAACTCATAAAATTAAGTGAAATTAACATAATAAATATGATCAATTTTTGAAGTGCTTTAAGATATCCTTGGCCAGGTACGGTGGCTCATGCCAGTAATCCTACCTAACACTCTGGGAGGCTAAGGCAGGAAGATTGCTTGGGCTCAGGAGTTCCAGACCAGCCTGAGCAAGATCCAGACCTCATCTTTACTAAAAATAGAAAAAATTAGCTGGCTTAGGTGGCAGGTAGTGCACCTGTAGTCCCAGCTACTCAAGAAGCTGAGGCAGGAGGATTGCTTAAGTCCAAGAATTTGAGGTTGCTACGAGCAAGGCTGATGCCAGGGCACTCTAGCCCAGGTACTCTAGCCCAGGCGACAGAGCAAGACTCAATCTCAAAAAAAAAGAAATAAAAGATATCCTGCATGCCACTTAAAAATATTTTAGGCATTTTAGCCATCTCAGCTACCTCCTCATCTTTCAATTCAACTTGCTTACCATTAACTTTTAAAATTAACATTCCTACATAAATGTGCTATAGTTTTCCTAAATAACTGGTGTTGTAACAGCTAGTTTCTCTTCAATTCCAATGCAAAAGCACGTTTCCCCTATACCTCTCCTAGGCTGTGGTGACTTAAGCTTCCGTAGGGGATTTTGTGTAATCGTAAATCAGAGTATCAACTGTATTTTATTTACAAGTGCTGGACAGAGAAAAGATGAGTCAGAGAGGGCTAATGGGGAAGGAGTAATATTGAGCCACTCCAGGGAGATAATTTATGGATAACAACATTTTATGAGATCCTAAATGTTTAACTCCATCCAGGGCATTTTGGGCCCACAGCCAACCAGCTGGAACTTGGGCTGAAGTTGTAAATGTGGAAGTGAACACTGGGGACAGCCACTGAGACCCAGCCTCCCGCGAGCTGCACCTCCAGGGGCTTCTCACCCACCCCCTCCGTCTGCCTGCCAGGTCCCAGTTTAGACAGTAATTATTCCGAATCAGCAAGTATTTCCTGTGCATCTAGGGGACAAGGCCTGTCATTCTTAGAGCTGTGAAAATACAAAGATGAACAAACACAGCCCACGACTTGATAGTATTTCAATCTAATAGGAGAGCTAGGGTACATGTGCAAACGATTACCCAAGGAAGAAAACAACTGCGTGCCAGACAACAGAACGGACCTGCAGGAGAGAGGAAGGTGCTACAGGAACACAGAAGAGGAAGAGGCCTTCCTGCTAAGGGCCTCGGTAGAGAGAAGACTGTTCAACAGCATTTTATTCAGTATTTAATAAAAAGCACCAGGTCCCCGGCGCTGCCATGGGACAGGGACAGGAAGAAGCTGAGCCCTGGAGACTGACAGGGAAGGGCTGAGTAGGAGAAGGGAGCAAGGTGGAGAGGGAAAAGCAGGATCGTGGAAGTCGAAGCCCTGAGATGAGCCCAAGTTCACAGCAAGAAGAAAAAAAAAACCAAGTTCTATCAACCGGGTTTGTAAGGGGAGGTTGCAGCTGCTGGCTGAGAGATTAGAAATTCTACAGGGGAGGACTTGGGGCCTTACTTTAAAGGCAACAGGGAGCCAGCGAAGGCTGTTTTTAGCACGATGGGGGCATAGCCAGGGTTGTGCTTTAAGAAATGATGAGTCTGGCAAAAAAAAAAAAAAAAAACCTCAGATAATCGATTTATTGGGGACATATTGATCCCTGTTTAAAGATCAAGGCCAAAGGTAAATCCATAAGAGCCGGACCTCAGTGATCTTTTCTAAAAAATCAATTTGAAGACCGGCTGGATGTAGGGGGAGAGGGTGCTGAAGCCTGGCTACAAGTTCAAATCTGATAACGGCCATATCATTACAAAAACCAAACCCGGGGCCCCAAAAACCCAATCAGGCACTTGGGCAAGGGTCAGGGGAGCTTCAAAGCCTGTCCTTCCCCCGGTCCCCAATCTCCTCCTGACTTTGCTGTTGGTGACCAACAACTTGGTCCTGGTCCTTACTCCTCACGTCTTGCCTCTGCTGCCAAAGCCCTCCAATGTGAGAACTTCCAAGGAATAAAACAGGAGCCTGTATCTGCCCCTCGCCCCTTCCCGGTGCCATGCTGCTGCCCAGCTGCCATGTAACTTACTAGCCCTGGACAAAACAACCCGTTCCCCTCCCCAAATCCCTTGTTCCTTTATTTCTCTGGTTCCCCCCGAAATGGAAAGGCAGGTGGAGAGACAGAACTACACAGACTCAGGTGGGAAAACTGGGCCAGCTGGTATGGCTCTAGTCTATGGCCTACAACAGGGATCCTTGCAGGAGACAAGAAAGTTACAGAGAAGGAAGCTCAAGGGAGCTCAGCTGCAGACCTTTGACATCCAGAAGTGCATATTTAGCCACCTGTTAAGATGGTGGCTAAGGGACCGGAGCTCTGCCTGGAGGCTCTTCCTCGGGGCACTGGAAGAATCTTCTGCTCCTGAGAACCTCTAGACCCTGCACTCAGACTGAGCATTCTGAGTCCTGAACATTCGAATCCCCTTCCAGTGGCTTGGAGGCCACTGAACAAGCCTTAGCGTCTACTGCAACAGCTAGCTAGCGCTGTGCCTTGAACACAGTAGGCGTGAAAACAACCCTCTAAAGGGACTCAGTACCCACTTCTCCCCATCGAGGACGGCCTCCCCCATGCTGGAGTCACATCTGCTTAAAGGTTCTCAGAGGACTCAAGCAGTGGGGTGGGAGGGGGGCTCCTCCCGCCCTGTGGGTCTCCCCCACCCCACAGCTGAAGCCCAGCCCCGGCCTCATATTATTTTCTGGACAAAAAGGCCCTTTTGCTTCGCTTCCCTGGAATCGGTTGTACAAATATTTTTAATCACCTCTGAAATCGGCCTTTCCCCAGGCTTAGCCACCCAGCCCCCAGCTCTGGTCTGAGTCGGTAGGATCCAGATCCAGTTCCCAATCCCCTTCCCTCTCCCCTCTCCAGGCGGAGCAGAGAGGCCGCAGCAGCGCAGGGTGGGCTCTGAGGCCCAGCCAGGCCCCACCGGCTTCACCCAGCAACAGGGAGACAGCAAGGCCTTCTCACCTTCCAGAGCCACACCCTCTTCACCACCCCCCACCATCCACAAACCCCTGGGACCCCTCCCTCCCCACCTCCACCCTGCCAGGGCAAAGGACATCACCCTGGAAAGAGCTCAGGGCTGCACACGACTGCCCAGGTGATAAGAGTAAGACCCGTGGCCAGGGGTTACCTTCACGGATGCTATGACCACAGACAGCCCCCTCTTTGGGGAGGCCCACCCAAGGGTACCACAGAGCATCCTTCTTCCTCCCGTCTGCCACCACTCAGCAGCCTACCGGGAAGGATGGATGGACCCACCGACAGCCCTCCAGCCTTCCCCGCCCTCCCGTCCATCTTTCTCTCTCAGTCCCTGGCTCGGTCCCACTGTCTTACCCCACTGTCCAGGGGCTCCCAAGTTTACTCCGCCCAGTAAGCAGGGGCAGGAGAGATGCCTGTGCCGGGAGGAGCCACCTCCACGCCCAGGTTGGGGCGGGGGCCTTCCGGAGCCTCAGCACCAAGAGCGAGCACTGGGGCCAAAGCGCCCCTAACATTCTGAGACGCGGAAGTCTTCGATCCCAGGGTCTGCTCTGGAATGTCACTCTGGAATGTGCCCCACCCCCCAACAGCACTCCCTCCGCCGGCCACATTTGAAGGTACATGGGTGCGGGGGAGCTCCAGGAGGACAAAACCCAACTCGCACACATTCTGGTCCAGGGGCTTTAGGATCAAGACCCCGGAGTTTTTAAGCGATCGGGTTTCCCTGGGGGCGGCGGTGGAAAGACGCTGGGAAAGCCCGGCAGGGAGTCGGCACGAAGCGGCCGGTCGGCGCACTTTGATAGTCTGAAGTTCCAAACTCCCCGCTGGGAGATTCCCGGCCTCCCCCTCCTCGCTCAGGGCCGCGCTTCTGGGGTCTACACCCGCGCTCCCCCGGCGTTCCGAACGGAAAGACGGAGCCAGCCACTCTCTTTCTCTCATTTCCTGGGGCCACAGAAACTTGCCCTCCCCAGCCACGGAGGCGGGCGGCGGAGAGGACGCCAACCGAGCGTCGCCGTTGACCGCGATCTCGCACTGAGAGGCAAGGGGGTGCAGGGGCGCCTTTCGGAGACCCCGACGGCGGAGACTTTTGCCTCGGGTGGTGGAGTCCTTTGCCCGCCCGCCCGCCGAGCCGAGCCGCACATCGGCTCTCCCCGCCCCCAGTCGGCTTGGGTTTGGAAACTTTGTGCGAGCGAGCGGAGTCGGCGCGGCGTCCCCGGCCCCGCAGGATCTCCAGCCCCCGCCCGCTCCCCGCCAGCCAGCCAGACCCGGCTCTCCCGGGCGGCCCAGGGGAGGGCGGAGCGGGGAGGCAGCTGCCTTACCTGGGACGCGCCGCCCGCCCGGCTCCGGCGCGGCGTCCGGGGCCAACTCCAGCCCCAGGAGGGGCGGGGGTGGGAGGGACTCGGCGCGGGGCGCGCGGCCAGGCCCAGCTCTGGCTGGGTGGCGGGGCCCGGGCGGGGGATCGGGGCGCAGGGCCTGCCTCTCTCGGGGACCCGGGCTGAGCCGGCCGCGCTCAATCGCTCGCTCTCGCGCCCGCCTCTCCCCGCGCAGCGCTCCTTTCTCCCGACGAGGGTGGGCTGGCGCCTGCATCACCGTGACATCACCTCCATTCAGGGCGCTTATCGGGCGCCCGCAGCGCTCCAGGTACGTCTAATCCGTTCACACAGTAACAAAGCCTGCCCGGCCCTCCCCGCCCAGACTCACCTCCGGGCTCGGCCGAGTCGCACTTTCCGGCCGCGGAGGGAGCGCGGAGTTCCTGGCGGGGCTGGCGTGTGGGTTGTTGCTGTTTACTGCCACGCCCCCGCACGCGGGCGCGCGCACACTCGCGCGCACTCACTTTAAGGACTCGGCTTTCCCTCGGGCCAGCGGTGTAGGGTGCAGCCCGGTACCCCCAGCGGGCAGGCTCTCCCTCCCCGCATCTCCCAGCGCGCGCGATCCGCCACGCGCGGGGGTACCTTGGCGCGACTCTCCGTGGCGGACACCCAGCCTTTGTCACCTTCGTCCTGGCTCTCCCGTGAGACGCACGCTGGGCGGTTAGCTGCTCCGGGCTGGAGCGAGGCGCACACTCAGACACAAAGTCCGTCTTTGTCACGCCTCTACGCCCCCTCCCCTCCCGAGCCTGCACACGTGGACACACCACACCACGAGTGTCCGCCACTCGGACACGCGGTCTTTCCCTGGGACCCCAGTTACCAAGTGTACGTGGGATTGCCACCGCGCCTGCCCCTAACGCGTGGGCTGAGTCCAGGGCAACTCCGAACCGTGGACAAAGGTCGCCCTGGGCCCGGCCACCCTGCTCCCGCGCTGCCTGCGACCTCCCCAGACACTGCCCAACTCGGAGCGCGTGCTCCCCTCCCCGCGTCCCCGTTCCCTGTTCCGACTTGTCCTAATTAGCCTTCACGGTTTTGTTCCCCAAGGTACAGTGTCTAACCCGGCCCCCGCGGTCTCTGCGCTCCGGGACACATTGGCCCTGACGCTGAGTCCCGCCCCTCCCGCGGCCGGGGACCTTTCCACGAGGTCAGGTTCCCTCGCGCCCCACCCCCACTCCCTGCCCTGGCTGCATCCGCGAGTTGCCATCCTTTCCCTTCCAGTTTCTGGAATCTGCTGAAAGGGAGCCTCAGAAATAGGAAAGTGACTCCGGACCGGGACCTCTGCAGCCCTGTAAACAAGAGGAGATTTTCCGGCCGCCTTTCCCCGGGCGGCGGGCCCCGCGGGAGGTGCGCGGCGAGGCCTACTCAGCTTGCGCCCGAGGCCCGCAGGGGCCGAGGCGCACCGAGAAGAGAGAGCGTGTTGCGCCTGTCCGGGGCCCTGGGGACGCGGAGGGAGGGCAGGGCGCTGGGTCTCGGGGTGCCGGCTCCCGTGACGCCGACGTGTCTGGGGATCGCCAGCAGCCGCCGGTCGGAGCCAGCCGGTGGAGGGGCGGGCGGCTGGGCGTGTTTGCTCAGCCCCGGGCGCCCGCGAGGGGGAGGGGAGGCAGCTGGTCACGGGCTAGGGGGCAGCCAGGTGGGGGGAGCAGGGAGAGGGGAGGGGTACCTCCGGGGCTGTTTGTTTGCGTGCCTCGATCTATGACAACCCAGAGTCTACACTCTATGAATCACCCGGAGTTGCCCGAGCGATAAACCTCAGGCCGGTTCCTCCCCTCGCACTCCGGTTTTCTGACTCTAGAAGGGAATGTTTGCTTAGCGGCCGGGGCTGGCGGAGAGGCCCTGGCTTTCTAGAACCCTGCATCCCTTCCTGTGCCTTGCCCTCGCTGGCTGGGCAAGGGTGGCAAAGACTGAATTGCTTCAGTCTCTTTAAAATATTGAGAGCAAGAGCGCTTTGCTCCTGCCGAGTGGCGCGCTACTCCTGGCCCGCCGGCTAAATCCACCTCCCACCCCCATGCTAGGGAGGCAAAGGCTTGTTTGGTCTGGGCGGCCAGGTGCCCACGCTGGGAAGGGAAACAGCCAGTCAGAACTAAGAGAGCTGGATAAGTCACCCTGGGCAGCAAAGCTGAACTCGGCGTGCTGGGAGGGGTGGCTCATTATCATAAGCGCGTGGCCATTGGGGGAAGGTGCCGGGGAACAGCCTGGGGGACCAGACACTGTGACGTTAAGAAGCAGGAGGTCGATAGTGGATCCTGCAGATTTATTTTCAGGCTTGAGAAACTCTTTTCCCTACCTAGATTCTCCAAAAAGACAACCCTTCTCCCTGCCTCCCTGCCCAGGCAGGGAGAGGCTGGGTGTCTGGGGCCTGGCCAGCCACTGGGAGTTGTGTCGAAAGGCACCTGGGCACCCCAGCAGCCTGGCCCTGCCCTCACCCAGCCCTGCGCAGCAGACGGCAGTGGAAATGTGGGGCAGTTTTCTGGGAACTGTTTGCTGCTTCCCTGTTCACCCCATCTCACTTCTGGAACAGGATCTGCCTTCAAAGGACAAAGCACGTCCCTCAGGGCAGATGACCTGGGCCTCTGGGTCCCCAGGATCTCTGTTCGGTTGCTTTCGTCCAGTCCCTGGGGCCGTGCTGATCAGAGGTGGGAGCCTGCACTGCTGCACGAAGTTCTAGGGCAGGTGTCCTTGCTTTCCAAGACCCCAGCCACAGGTCATCTGTGCCCCCCAAACGCCCCTCACCCTGATCTAATAACCCAGCAGGCATATAACCCATTGTGAGCTTCATTTTCACCAAAAAGTACCACTTTGAGAAGTGGTCCCACGTGGCCACTGCGCACCTGCTGTTCATAGAGCTCCAGGACGTGTTGGATTCTGCAGGAGCCTGTCCGTACCCACACCACCCGCACCTGCCCCATGCAGGGCTCCAGTCTCCACGGGCAGAAAGAAACCACCTTTATTCACTGAAAAAGCTTTCTGACAAGTCTGAGGTCCTGACAAGGCCCAGGGCTGAGCCACCTGCCAGCTGCATGGCCTAGGCGAGTCACTTCACCTCTCTGAGCCCCACTTTCCTCTCCTGTAACACAGGGATGACAGCACCACCTCCAAGATGAAGCCCCATCTGGAATGTGCCTCGAAGAAGCCTGGCACTTACAGATGGTCACAGGTCAGCCTCTCCTCTCCTGGCGTGACTGTCCCTCGCCTGTGAGCCTCGGGCCTTTCGGCGAAAGAGCTCTGACAGTTATTAGCACAGACTCTTGACAAGCCATTTCTCTGACATCCTTTCAGTTCTGTTTACCATGATCAGAAGAATAGCCTGGCCACGCCATGCCCCGGGCTTTCACCTGTGCCGGTCCTTTGACCTCTGATGTCCCATCCCTCTTACCCCCCCTCTCTCTGACCAAAAATGTTTAAAAAGCTCCCCTGCCTCAGAGCTCAGCCCTGATGTCCCTTCCTGCACGGGGCACCCTCCTCACCTTCCTCAGCTGCCCTACTTACCCACGGCCTGTTATGCATTTGTTTATTTATCAACTATCCTAGTGTTCGTAATTAACCTTCTAAATTGCTGTCTCCCTGATTAGACTGTGCCCTTCTCGAGAGCAGGGACATGTCTCACTCATCTCCTTGTCCCCAGCATCTGGCACATAGCTGGGTACACGGTGGATTCTGTCAGTAGATGCTTGTGGAATATCCCGTGTTCTGTGGCCTGTACTGCTGATATTACCCCGTTACACCAGCGGACTTGCGCACAATGCCACCTCTGCCCTGTGCCCCCCACCACCCGGGCCACCCTTCCTGGGAAGCAGGCAGGCCCCAGCCCCTGCTGGAGAAGGCCACCTCCCCTGGGCTTGCAGTGCCATGCAGCAGAGCCCAGGGTTTGGGGCCTGGAGGAGCCTGCCCAGGGGTGCCAGGGGTCAGTTATGTTCCCTAGAGGGACGTCCCAGTTTGCCTGGGCAGCAGGCGTTCTGGACTGCATGATCTTGCAGGAGCCATTTCCTCCTCTATGGTGTAGGAGACCTCCTCCCTCTTCTTAGGGGGTACAATGTCCCCATCTTGGAGCTGGGCCCCAGTGGAGCGAGAATAGTCCCTCACTGAGCTGAGGGTGGGGCTCCTGCTCCGAGACAGGTAGGGGCGGGGAATCCTGTGCTGGGTGGCAGGTGCCCCACAGCCACCGGTGGACAGGGTTAGCATCTCACCCGCCCTGGCTCCCAGGCTCATATTAACTGGTCACCGCCCAGGCTGCAGGGTCTGGCCAAGTCTCTTTTTCTCTTTGGCTCAGAGGACTTCCTGCTTGGAGCAGCGGGAACCACCTGGTTTTCTGAGAGGACTCAGGTACCAAGGTGGCCCCTTAAGAAGCAGGAAGCCAGGGGCTGGGACTCATTCACCACAACCGGCTGCCCATGGATGAGCCTCTGGAAATGCACCCGGAAGCAGGCGTCAGGCAGTGCCTGCTGGAATGTCACCTGATGCCGAACCCTTCCACAGCGGCCACGAAATCTGCTTCTCCCGCACCGCCCTCCCAGTCCCGGGCTCAGTGGCCACTCACCAACGCCCCGTGGAAGGAGAGAGCTGGGTTTCCTGAGCAGCCCGGTCTGGACAGCCTACCACAACAGGCTGAGCGAATCCTGAGAACCAGGCCTCACGCCGGGGGTGCAGGGATTCAGGCCACTCGGTCTCCCCACCCCTTCCAAAGTCAAAAAGGAAATGTGTAGCCAGGTGGCAGTTAGGTCCCC